TTGAAAGTGCTTTCCAAATGGTCCAACTGTTAGTTCCTGAACATTTTATTCCCATCCATCCCCTTACAGGGGCAGCTGTGGCTGAGCAGTTAGAGCAGTCGTCCTCCAACGTGAGAACACTCTACATAGTAGAGTGCTGTATGAATGGGTAAATGAGGGCACAGATTGTAGTATAAAGTACTTTTGAGTATCTTGATAAGATAGAAAGGAGCTATATAAGTACAGTCTATTTAACATTTATAAAACATATTTTTATGATATTTTTGTTCTGATAATTACACCTGAACACTGAAGAGGACTGCAGTTTGAAAACTTGGCAAACATCTTAGTGACAAAACAAAGTTAAAAACTGTCACTGTGCACGTTTCACAGCCAGAACAACAGGCAGGAAGAGCTGAAGGCGCATGGAGTCATAATTCATTTTATCGTCTGAAAAACCCACGTTTTAAATGAAACCAAGCACATCCTTTATTTAGAACAAAGATTCAACCGTGTGCATGTGTCATTTCACAACAATAACCAGAAGTCCTATACTGTATGTGCACGTTCACGTGGCCATAAATGATGCCTCAGGCTTCATTAGGGCTCCCACAGCATGATACTTCACGTTTTGTCTGAATCTCATAGCAGCAGTGTCCAACTAATTAAATGTCTCCAAATGTTCAAGTGACTCACACGGTCTCGCTCCTGTGTCCCTGGAGCTTTGAACATGTAGTAAAAATCTGTGATACACATTTTCACTCAGTCCCAGAGTTGCTGTGGACATTCAAAACAAATCTCAATCCAGTTTCTGTAGTTTTAGAGATGTAACATCAAGCTCAATAATCCAGGTAAAAAAATCCAACAAAAGTTACCAGGTAAGTCAGGCCCTCTGGATGGTTTCTCTTTGTTGAAATGTTTCATCTTTCATCTAAAATCAGCCTGAGGATTATTGAGCATGAACTTTGATGTTTTGAACCTCTTTGGCTATGGCTGCCTCAGACGAGCCAGCGGGGGAGAGGGAGGACTCCAGAAACCAGCTTATCACCATCAAACTGGTTGACCCATTATGTGAGTGTGTTACTTATGGGACTGACTGAATTTGTTGTGGCTCCTCGGACTGATGAAGTCCTTTGGATGAAAGAGGAAATGTTTCAACACAAAGAAACCATCCAGAGGACCTGACTGAACTTTGTTGGGTTTTAGAGATGAACGTTTTTGTTAATACCCAGTGCTAGCTGCATGCTAATTTTGGCCCAAGTTTCACCAAAAGTTCCCACTACTGTGTTGTTCAGTGTGATTCTGGATGAATGTCTGTGAGTTTCTTACAGATTTTGTGTCTCCAACAGTCATAGTCCACTGACACTAATGATTTGACTGTAGAAACTGACCATCAGTAGCGACGTAAACATGAAGTTCTGAAACTTCATTTTAGAAAAAAATCATAGACTAAAGTAAATTTCTTTAAGTGTCAAACATTTATCTTCTTGCTTTAGAAAAAAATACGTACTTATGTTGTAGAGATGAGAGACTGAAACTTTCTATAGGCAGGATCGCAGGTTTTGGTTTGAGAACCTCAGGGTCTTGTCTCTGCGTTATGCAGATGATGTGGTTCTGAGTAGGATGGAGTGGGAGATGGATTGACAGAGCTTCATCTGCAGTAATAAGGATGTTGCTCCAGTCTGTTGAGGTGAAGCAGGAGAAGAGCAGAAAGACAATGCTCTCAATTTACTGATCTGTCTACATTCAATCCCTAATATATGGCCATAAGATGTGGCTCATGACCAAAAGAACAAATTCCTGGATGCAAGGCGCTTTCTGGGCACGTCCCAATTAGGGATGCGTCGATCCACTTTTTTAAATTCCAATCCGATCCCGATACCTAGATCTGAGTATCGGCTGATACCGATCCAGTTCCAATATCATGATCATCATTGATTTTATATGAGGCTGTAATAATCTCTTCTGAAGTACAATTTGTACAAATATATGCATGCATGTCCAAAAAGGAAACTTGAGGTAAGTTTTATTAATGTTGGATAAATTTTAAAGTTAAGAGTTAAATTCTGCTAACACAAAACATGTTTCTTTTTATTCCTAGCTTTAAGGTGGATATTAAAGTGATTAATTTAAGTGATTGTTTAAAGTTGCTTTATACCTTATAAGGGGCAGATATAATAATTTTTTCTTCTTTCTACACTCTTTTCATTCAATGTTTTCTTTTTGATGATTTTTATTTATTTATTTTGTTTCATTTAAATGAATGAATAAATTAATTAAATTAAATGTTAAATGGCTTCAAACACCTGCTAAGTTCATGGCACAAACCAACAGACATGTTCCTGTTTTTAGTATTTGACATCACTTTATAATGTAGCTGTTTATGTTTTTAATATATATAATTTTCAAATCATATGTTTTTTATGATTGTCTACTGTTGTACTGATAAATATCTCCTGGAGGGTAAACTATATCTTGGCTGCAAGTATCAACCTGAGAAATCCTTCATTTTCTACAACTGATAGTGGTTGGTCATTAATTATGAAGTTTAGCAACTTCTCTGTAAACATTCAAGCTCCGTGGTTTCAGCGACGTCTACTTCTTGTTCAATCCGAAGCAGGCAGCCTGATTTGGGGCAGCCGCGTTCAGTCTGTCCCTCCTCGGAGACGGGCAGACTGAGCAGGGCAGATTGGACGCGGCTGGCCGGGGTCGAGTCGCCTCTTTCGGTTTGACCAAAGAGTAGTGCCCCGCTGAAGCCACAGAGTCCATTGTAAAATTTACTTTACCACGGTTTAATGTGGCGCTATGGCTCTGCAGACATTGCACAATGCTGTCTTGTTTTGTGGTGTTTAGTGTAAAATACTTCCACACAGCAGACATGTTTAGATGAAAAGTTTGTTAGCTGTTAGCCACTGTGCTGCTAACTCAGTCCTTACGTTGTAGCTGGCTGCAAACTATGAACTGGATTTCCTGAATGTGAGCCGGGTCTTATTACTCTGGGTTCATGAGACACGCCGCCGTTCAGGAAATCCATTCCATAGTTTGAAGCCAACATGCATCATGGATCGGAAATATTGGCCGGAGGATCGGAAAATCCGATACGTAAATTATGCTGGTATCGGAGGCCGATACCGATACTGGATCGGATCTGCCCCATCCCTAGTTTCAATAGGATGGCATCCTTGGGTAGACCCAGACCTTTCTGAAGGTATTACATATCCTCTCTGGCCTTAGAACACATTAAGACGTTGAGGATTTCCCTTGTGGACCTGTTGCTTTTGCAACCCGACCAAAAAGCAGGTGAAAACGTATGAATAGCTTTAAACTGAGCAAAACAAAATGTTATAGAGTCAAGCTTAAAAATGACTTTAACAAACCTTTCTGTGAGTCCATGACTATTGTCAAGGCGGCTGCCTTGGGCTGTAGCCACAAGGTGGTTGGTGCTGCTCGTGGCAGCCATACTCAAATTCAATGGTGGCTACTCAGGGTTAGGGAGTCCTTCAAGTTGAAGAAGGAGTTCTATCGGGCCTCGTTGGCTGAAAGGACTCCAGAGGCTGCTGAGGCATATCAGTGGGCTGTAGCCCTGGCTGTCACTGAGGCAAAAGCTCAGATGAGGGAGGAGTTCAGTGAGGTCTTGGATAGACTCTTGACTGGCTCAGAGGAGATTCTGAAAACCGTCAAGTGGCTGAAGTGGGAAAAGCAACACTTTACCAACAATTTTTAGTGGAGGTGTTGACCTCAGCCAGTGATGTCATTGAGCAGTGGAAATAATACTTCTCGGACTTTCTCAGTCCCATCAGCACTTCTTCCATGGAGGAAGCTGATTTTGTCCATATCCTTGGTCCATCCACATCCCTGGTCTACCCATAACCCTAGTCTGTACATATCCCTGGTCTATCCATAACCCTAGTCTGTCCATATCCCTGGTCTGTCCATAATCTGGTCTGTCTAATCCCTGGTAAATGGCATGTATAGCACCTTTCTATCTTGTCGAGATATTCAAAGTGCTTTACACTACAATCTGTGTCCTCATTTACCCATTCATACAGCACTTTACTAGATCTCTACAAAGCTAATTGAACAAATCATTCTAAAGAGACTAATCAGAGCTTTATCACATTCATACATCAATGGGACACACATCGGAGGCAATGAGGGGTTCAGCGTCTTGCCCAGGGACACTTCGGCATGTGACTGCTGGTGGATTTGAACCCCCAACTCTTGCATTGGAGAACCACTGCTCTAACCACTCAACCTCAGCCACCCTCAAACCCTGGTCTGTCCATAATCCTGGTCTTATCCATCTCCTTGGTCTGTCCATATCCCTTGTCTGTCCATAACCCTGGTCTGCCCATAACCCTGGTCTGTCCATAATCCTAGTCTGTCAATAATCCTGGTCTGCCCATAACCCTGGCCTGTCCATAATCCTGGTCAGTCCATAACCCTGGTCTGCCCATAACCCTGGCCTGTCCATAACCCTGGTCTGTCCATATCCCTGGTCTGTCCATATCTGGGGCTGAGGTCGCCTTCATTGAGTCATTTGATGTTTGAAGAAATTCATCTGAAAAATGATCTGATTGTTTATAATGACAGTTTTAAGCACAAATCTCACAAATGTATCAACATTTACAAACACTACAAATCTGTTGGGAACAAAACTAGACTAACTACTTCAGTTTTAATCTACAAACTGTGTCTAAGAGTTATTAGCTCTCTTGTGTGGTATTTGGACGAGAGACAGCAGTAAAGAGGTTTCTGGTTCGTTTGTTTTTTTTAGTTTTTTCTACAACACATACGTCTTTACACGAAGACGTAGATTTTTGGCAGTTTTCACAGTTAAATGTTTCTTTGAGGACATCTTCAGATATATACTGAGTCTAGCTGAAGTTTCAAAGAAACTCATGAACTCTAAACTCTGAGGACAGAACTTGGTCCTGAAGGTCCCATCACATTGACCCATAACTGAAGTCTCTGTCCTTGCCGCAGCATTCTGAAGCAGTTTCTGTCTCCAGAGGGATGGTCTAAGTCCAGACGGGCAGCCAGTGTCCAAGCCCTTCAAAGAACCCGTGAACATTTGAAACGTAGAAGTCGACATTGTGGGAGAAGTCTGTGCAGATGTTGGAGTACGTCCCCACCAGGGTGCAGTAGAGTGCAGTCCCTCCAACACTGATCACCACAGTCACCAGACACAGCAGCAGCAGGATGAGACACGAGTCTCCTCTCACCTCATCTACAAGGACATGGACCAACATTAGGAGCATCATGGTAGAGTTTAAACACACACACATGCCTTCTGTATCAGATACGGCACAGTTTCCTGTCACCTTGCTCGATGCCGTCTTCAGGATCGCTGAATCGAACTTTACGTTTGGAGCTCTGTTTGTCTGAGGTGCTGCTGGGAGGAGGCAGCCCGTCCAGAGAAGCTCGCCTCCTCTTCAGGATGGACACTAGACCTTCTGGGGAGGAGTTCTACAGGAGAAACAGAGAAGCGAACAATGTTTTTTCTTCATCATCTTCTAGAAACCTCTTCTTAAGAGCTTAAACCTAAACTAAGCTTTAAACTGTGTCCATCCCTGTTAAAACCTTTTTCCTGTAAAAACCTAAAAACACTCCATAGTTTCACGTTCCTACATTTCTAGGTTAGTTATTCTCTGAAGTCAGCAGGAGAGCAGTACAAACTCTTTACCGACTTCAACTCACAGATGATCTTTGTTTGTTGCACCTTGCAGTGGCAGTGAAGAACTCTGGACAGAAAAGTTTCCAAGAGTTAAAGGACCTGAAGAAACTGTTATGAGCTGCAGAGACTAACATTAACCCTGTCAAACTGAGTGAAACATCATTATAAACAGCTTGGTGATCCCATTATCTCATATAAAACACACACATTAGGACTGGAAGTATGAGGGGGAGGTTAAAGACACATGCTCAAAGAAATGTTCAAAAACTACAGCTGTTGACCCTAAACTATGACGTGAGGCTGAAATTAGAGCTGTGCAGCTGACATTCTTTAAAAAATGTACAAGACTCTATTTATTCTGTTCATTCTCTTGTAAACGAGTCCTCGAGGCTCAATGAGACTAACCTGGATAAATAAAGGTTGAATGAATTAATACCATGTAGAGACAGGATCAGAGCACCGGGGGCCCTGCCCTCACCTGCCATGTGGAGGAGACCTCCTGTAGCAGTTTCAGGCTTGGTCTGTCTGAGCTCCAGGAATCAGGGCCCATCCAGCAAGCCCTTATGGTCCAGGCTCAACCACTGGGCCCTGGTGCTCCTGGTTCACCCAGCAGGCCCTTGTGGTCCAGGCTCCAGGATGTGCCCTGGTTTCTCTATACCAGTGAAGAGACTCAGGTATCTTGGCGTCTTGTTCAAGAGTCATGGAAAGAGGTGGACCAACAGGTCCGGGCCTCGTTAGCAGTAATTAGGGCACAGCTCCGGTGTCACAGTGAAGGAGCTGAGCAGAAAGCTGAAGCTCTGTGTTTACTGCTCAGTCTGTGGTTTCATAAAACATTATTGGAACTCAGCGGTTCTGAAGTACTGTGTGACATTAAACGTGTGACATCTCCCTCGTGTCATTTACAAAACAGGATGAATTATCTCAGTTTAGCTATCATGTTTGTTCCAACAATTTTCCAACAATTAAACATTTAAATTTAACAATTAAAATTGTTGGATTGTATACATGGATTATTGAGCATGGACTTTTTTGGTATCCTGTTTGTTGTTAACATTTATTTAATTAACTACTATGTTGCTGTGCACCATCATCGATGTTCCCTCGGGAATAAATCTGATTGTTGTTTAATCCTGTGAGCGGACGATCACACACTGACGTCACATTGAGCTGTGGCACTGCGCCTGAACTTCTTACATGTCAGCCAGTTTGTCTGTTACTGCCTTGCTTGGCACTACTGTGGTGGGCCACCTTTGACCCCCCCTCGCCTCCTCGGTCCATCCAGAAGACTCACTGAGGTGGCGAGAACTCATCTCAGTCCTGGACTGAGGTGTCTTGTGAAAGAACCTTCTGTAAAACCTCTCATATACGATCGAGAAACATGGATTGTGACTGAAAGAACAAAATCTTTCTCCATGAGTGACCAGGCTCAACCTTAGAAAAAGGGTGACGACCACCATTATTTGTGGGCTGCTGCTTCTTCACTTTAAAAAAAGAGATGAGGTGGTACTGCACAGACATTTAAAACAATGTCCTTTGGACAGATGAGACCGAAGTAGATAGGATTACCCACAATGCTTTGTGAAAGCCAAACAGACTTTTTAGTAAAAGCTCAACAGCTGAGCGCACTGATGGAGGGCTGATGGCATGGACTTGTTCAGCCACAGAACCAGGGCACCTTACTGAGTTGACTGTGAAGTGCTCTGTAACCTGACTTATCTAGAGTCAAATGTGAGGCCATGACAACTGCAGCTGGGACCAAACAGGGTCTTAGATGTGAGAGAAGATCCTACAAGCTGTCTAGTCATGGGGGGACTTGAGTTCAGACACAGCTTTTCTACTTTGGCTTTATCTGTGATAAATAAATATCACCAAGGTGGAATCTGTTGTAACCTTTAATTGTCCCTAGATGTAAGTGAGAGAGTGAATGTTTCTCTCTGATGGACATGTCCCTGCCTCCTGCACTGCTGCAGACAGACACCAGCTGCCCAAAGATGATGAAAGCAAATAAAGAAGGAGGATCGATGAAATCAGTTGTGTTTTTGTACACAGAGTTGAATAGATGTCGTATCTGGTTAAGACCAAGTTGTTTTTATGTGTCAACACCAAAAGAGCTAGAACTGAAAGTGGGTGGACTTTATTTTTCATGTTATATCAGGGAAATAAAGCTGAAAATTAATCATTTTAATATCGGGGGAGTGGTGGCGCAGAGGTTAGAGAAGATGGGCATGAGATCAAAAGATCGCTGGTCCAAACCCCGGTACCGACAACATCAAAAATGTCTAGGCCCTTGAGCAAGGCCCTTAACCCCCACCATATGCTCTTCTGGGTGTCCTAGATAGCAGCGCTCTTCTCCACACAGAGGGCTGTGGTAGCTCGGTGGTCTGTGGTTGCATCAGGAAGGGCATCCGGCGTAAAAACTTCCGGTAAGATGGCGCCCGTGTACATGGCTTGCAATCCACCTCTGCTGATGGTGTTCAAATTATTTTTGTTTTTTGTATTCCTCATCAATGACATCAACTCTCTGCTGGTGTATGACAGACAACAACTTTTGGATCTTCGTTTTTCTGGCACTGATGTCGCTTATCTGGACCATTATCAGCGTACCTCTGGACACCCACCCCCCCCACCCCCCCCGCTGGCGGACGTGCCAGCTTACCTTCGCTGCGCTCCTCACCTGCCTGCCCGGAGATATTGCTTCAGATACCGGGGAAAATGTGCTGGTCTGCTGGAGAAGCTGAAAGCTCTGCGCGCTGCATCTTCCTCTTCAGCTGGCGGTCATGGTCTCCAGATTACCACGTGCCCGGACCAGGTAACCAGTGGGAGTTGTCAGCCGTTGCGCAGCCCGGACCGACCTGGAGGGGATGTTATTGAAAACCTGCGGCCATTAGCGCGCGATAACTCCACCGCTGCTAGCTCCACTTTGGACAGTATCCGGATGTGTTTGGTCAACGCAAGATCTGTTACCAACAAAACTTTTATCCTCAGGGACTACTTTCAACAGCACGATCTGGACTTTTTCTACATCACAGAGACTTGGATGTCTCCGGGTGAGTCCAGCGCCTTGACGGAATTACTGCCACCGAACAGTCTGTGTTGTAACGCCCCGCGGCCATCAGGTCGGCGCAGTGGTGGATTATTAACAATATTCAAATCAACTTTTGACTGTAAACAACTGCCCATCCCAGTTTCCCGAGCCAGCTTTGAGCTGAGCGTCTTTGAACTCGGACATTCACCTCCGACGTTATTTGCACTTGTCTACCGCCCACCTCGATTTAAGGATTTCATAAATGAGTTTTCTGACTTCTTGGCTGAAATCACACCAAAATATGAGCATGTTTTCATTATTGGTGACTTTAATTTGCACGTGTGCTGTCCTGAGAAGCCCTTGGTTAAGGACTTTTTAGATTTATTGGACTCATTTAATTTAACTCAGCATGTAAACTGTCCCACCCAAAAGTGTGGACATACACTGGACCTTGTTTTAACTCATAATATGACTGTTAATAATCTTGTTATTGGTGATCATGTTTTTTCAGACCACATGCCAGTTCAGTTTGAGTTCACCCTCCCCCATCTAACTCCTAAGCCGTGCATTCCTGCACGTCGCACCCGGACCATTAACCACTTCACTGCCACACGTTTCACAGATGTTTATAACTCTGAAATGATCATTCAGCCCCCAGTGTTTCTCACCACCACTGAGGAGCTGACATCCCAGTTCAAATATATCTGCTTAAAGACTCTGGATCATGTTGCACTTGTTAAAACCAAAAAATCAAAACTCAGAGCAGAACCTTGGCTGAGTGACGTCACCAAGGCCGTTAGGCAGCAATGTAGGACGGCAGAGCGCAAGTGGAGGAAAGACAGGCTGCAGGTCTCTTTCCAAATACTTAAAGAGAGTTGGCGCTGTTATCAGAAAACAGTAAAAGCTGCAAAATCAAAATTCTTCTCTGATATAATTACCTCAAACTCTCACAACCCACGTGTCCTCTTCTCCACCCTAAACTCTGTTCTCCACCTCACTGAACCATCACCTCTGGAAGCCTCGACTGAGCTGTGCAACAACTTCCTACATTTCTTTGTGGAAAAAATTGCAACCATCAGGGCTCTCATTTCTCCTCCAACTCATGACCCATCCATCCCACCTCAATCTGTAGCTCCTTTTGACCATTTTGAACCCATCACTCTATCTTCTCTAGAGCAGGTCATGTGCAGCTTGAAACCTTCTGGCCCCCTTTGATGTGGTCCCCCCTCGACTACTAAAGGAGGTTTTTCCTACTCTAGGTCCGTCCATTCTTGCCATAGTAAACAGTAGTTTATCCACTGGTGTGGTGCCAAAAACCTTTTAAACATGCTGCTGTCCAGCCTCTCCTGAAAAAACCAAACCTTGACCCCTCACTCGTTTCCAACTTCCGGCCTGTCTCCAAACTCCCATTTGTTTCTAAAGTACTGAAGAAAATAGTCGAGTCCCAGTTGAAGTGCTTCCTGGAGGATCAGGCCATCTTAGAGCTTTTCCAATCTGGCTTTAAACCTCTCCACAGCACTGAAACTGCCCTGCTGAAGGTCTTAAACGACATCTTCAGATTCACAGATACTGGTGATTCTGTGCTGCTTGTCCTGTTGGACCTCACAGCCGCCTTTGACACCATCGACCATGAGATCCTCATTGCTAGGTTGGAGCAGTGGGTGGGCGTCACAGGATCCTTTTGTGTCTCCATCAAGGATTTTAGTTCCGCAGAGGCAGAGCTTAAATGGGGGGTTCCGCAGGGGTCCATACTGGGTCCCCTCCTATTCTCTTTATACCTGCTGCCGCTTGGTGCTATTTTCCGGAAACACAACATGCCCTTCCACTTCTATGCCAATGACTGTCAAATTTACTTCCCCCTAAGACACAATGGTACATGCTCTATTCAACCGCTGCTCAACTGCCTGGCTGACATCAGGGACTGGATGGCTTTAAATTTCTTAAGTTTCAATGAAAAGAAGTCTGAAGTCATGTTGTTCCCTCCCAACGACATGATCACAAACCACTGCATCGACCTTTCCGCTCTAACCCTGTCAGAAAAACAAAGAGTCACTAATCTGGGCGTGATAATGGACCCTTCCCTGAAACTTAACAATCATGTAAACATGATTGTTAAATCATGCTTCTTCCAACTGAGGCGGCTGTCTAAACTGAAGCCCATATTGTCCAAAAAGAACCTGGAGACAGTAATACATGCATTCATTACATCTAGGCTTGATTACTGCAATTCGCTCCTGTTTGGTATCAGTCAGACCTCCATTGCACGACTACAACTGGTCCAGAATGCAGCAGCCCGATTTTTAACCAGTACAGACAAAAGAGAGCACATTACACCAGTTTTGGCCTCACTGCACTGGTTACCGGTTCACTTTCGAATCCAGTTCAAAATACTCATGTATGTCTACAAATCACTGAACAGTGTCCCTCCCATCTCTCTGATTTGCTACAACCGTATGTCCCACCACGCTCCCTGAGGTCAGCGGACCAGTTGCTCCTCACAGTTCCAGGAACTCGTCTTAAGCGCAGAGGTGACAGGGCCTTCTCTGTAGCAGGACCAAGACTCTGGAACGAGTTACCTCTGCTTGTCAGACAGGCCCCCTCCCTCTCGGTTTTCAAGTCCCGTTTAAAAACTCACTACTATTCAATAGCTTTCAACACAAGATGATCTGTGTTTTGATCCTGTATGCTCCACACTGGTTTGTCGTCATTATCTGCATCGTTTTTTGTCTATATTCTGATTTACCTCATTTTGTATTTTGCTTTGTGTGTTACCTGTTGTTTTGTCTGTACAGCACTTTGGTTGGCCTTGTTGCTGTTTTAAGTGCTTTATAAATAAAGTGGTATGGTATGGTAAAAATAACTGTCAAGTCTTCGTGCGACTTAGTTCACTGTGGCGACCCCTAACGCAGGGAGCAGCTGAAAGAAGAAGAAAACAAATTAATAATTTTAATATCAACCTGGGTGTCCAATCCTGGTCCTCCAGGGCCACTTTCCTGCACAATTTATTTGTTTTCCTGCTCCAACACACCAGATTCAATGGATGTATCACCTCTTCATGTTCTGCAGAAGACTGTTGATCACCCCTTGATTCAGGTTGTTAGAGCAGAAATACTCCTGACCTTTCTGACATCTAGCTGTAGCTGCACACCAAAATGAAAGGTGCTCATTTTTAAGTTTTCCAGCTCATAAGACAGACGGACGAACAGACAGACAGACAGACAGACAGACAGAAGGTATCTCCAGATCCACAACAAACAGTGTGTTTGTGATGATCAGGGTCAGTGTTCAACGTTCTCCACATTAAACAGTCAGATCATCGTGAGGCCCTCAGCCTGTTTCTTTTATTTGGAATAGCTCTGATTCCTCCTCAGTGCAGGACCCCCCCCCCCCCCCCCCCCGACATCACATGCTGGCCCAGGCTCAAGGTTGAGCAGGGTGGAGCGCTGCAGGAACATGGGTGGAGGCTGACGATGATCTCACAGAGGAACCATAAACTTCATGTCATGAGGAGTGCAAACAAAGACCGGGGCTGCTCATGGTGGATGGAAGGAGGTGAAAACATTGTAAAGGTCTGTGGAGTACTGGAGTAACTCTGAGACCCAGAAGGTTCTGGTTCTGAGGTTTCCAGCAGCTGCAGTGTGATCTCACCCCCTCTGTGTGGGACAGCTTGGCCAGCTCTTTGTCCGACGCCTGCGGTACTCCTGTTGGCCACTCCACCTTCACCTCCTCATCCTCGGGCGTCTCCTCACAGTGCTCCTCCTCCTCTACTTCCTGTCCCTCCTCTAACGCCTGTTCTCCTCCGCCCAGCTCCTCCTCGTGGCTCCTCTGTGGGGAGGAAACCTTGGAGATGGGGTTCTGTCCCCACTCTTGGGGTTCGCTGGCTGAAAAACAAGGAGAGCGCTGATTTGTTTCACTGAAGCTTCAATATAAATTATATTTAACAGAGTTGATAAAAACTAAAAGATTGTTTCACTAATTATTTATTTTATTATAGTTTAAATAACAAGTTTATAGTTTGTTTGTTTTTTGGCTCTGGACCTACATGTGTCCTAAATGAAATGAATGAATAGAATAATATTTGGCTTTTTAAAACAATAAAACTTCACAAATTAATGTATAATATGTTCTGTTGGGGCCTCAATCATCTCGATCATCGATCCGGGTGAATCCTGAAGGATTAAAATTAAAATGACCGAAAATCCATCAACATCATTAAAAACTACAATACTTTGGGACTTTGTTATTTATTTATAATGGCTGTGTGTAAAATGTGTAAGAAGTGATTAGATTAGACAAGAAAATGTTGGAGATTCTATTAAATACATACATTAGTTATTTCCCCGTAATATAAAAAAATAATATCAAGGATACAAAAATCCATCAAACTGCAATTTGGAGCAAACAAGAGAAAAAGCCCGGTCCTCTCCAGAGCTCTGTAGCTCATCAAACATCACTGGACGTTTTAACGGGTCGGGATGTCGGACTCTACTGGACATTTTGACATGTTTAAAGTTTTTACCAGATTGTTCAACTTAAACTGAGACAACGCTGCACTCAAACTTCTGAGCTGTCTGAACGTTTGCAAACAAGCGCTTCTTTAGTTTTACATGTTTTATAGTGTTTATAGATAAAAACGTGGGTGTTTCATCTCAGTCTGTGCACAGGTCCAAACTCCCGTCGACTCCCACTGAAGCTGAGCTCAGAAGTTTCTTCTGAACCTGGAGGTGAAGAACTTCTTGTCGTATCTCACATGAAACAGGGACATCCAGAAGCTTCTGCTTCAGTCTGGGAAGTTTTCATTACAATTCAGTTTTCTCACAGCAGTTGTTTGTCTGAGGCTTACTTTCTACCAATGGCGGCTGGCCAATAGAGGGCGCTAGGGCTCCGCCCCACCACTCACACCCCTCATCACATTACCTTGAATAAGATGGTTTTTTTTATGAATAAAAATTAAATAATAAAATAAACATTTTTGATATATATATATATATTATTATTTTTTTTTTTTTGTGTGTGTGTAAGATAAATATTTTATATATAATGATGAGTCAAGTTGTTTCTTTCAAAAACGTTCTCTGATTGATGATGTATTTCTTCCCTGGGGGTGCAAGAACCTTTGCCCATAGACTCTCGTTAAAAGTTGAACATGTGCAGTAACTCCTCTTCATTACAAGATATAGGACTATTCTGGGCGCAACTCTCCTGCGCCCAGAGTACAGGCGTACGCCGGTACGGATCATGCTTCTGGTCCCGGAACAGATCATGCAGTGACACTCACAACCAAACTATGTGTGAGAGAGGCTAGGCTAGCTGTTGTAGGTAGGCTTTAAGCCATTGAAAGCCATTTATCTAATGCCTATGTTACCATTTCTGACTGATATGCCTCTCAACTTTTAGATGTCTCTGCAAAAAAAACTTCAGCTACACTGTGTATTCTAAAAGTGGGAACTGGTGAGTTTGTTTGTTTGTTTCTGGAGCTATCATGCTAGCACTAGCCTCCAGGTTATTGTATTGGACTCCGTAATAAATCAGTGCTTTTACTATATTTTTAATGTGCTTATAGAAAAAAAAGATCAAACATTTATAACTTTTCTATACTAAATGTCACTGATGATATTGTTCTACTATTTCTGAACCCCTACATTTGTATTGATCTGGATAATGAAAAATAAGCCTCTTGCAATAAGTAACTAGCTTCTAGTGTTAACATGGAAGCATTTAAATTGAAGGTACATTGAGATGGTGAAATGCTATATGTGCTAAGGTGCAATATTAGGAACTTTGATATTAGAAATATTTAAGAGTACTCAAATAATGAGCTTGATTCTATTTTTATTATGAACTTATATTACTATAGTAATGATGATAAAAAAAACATATACATGTATTGCTTATATTTATGATGGTTTTTGATATTGATAAAATCCAGGGTTATTGATTATTAGGTCTGTTTCACACAGGCCAGGTTCCTGTCTTTTGCTGAGGATGGAGAGCTAACGCTAGTTTCGAACCATGAGATGGGTTGAATCCCCATAACTCCATCCAGTGTGGTAGGAGGTGCTTTTAGCTTCTATTTGTGTGTGCATACACACACACACACACACACACACACACACACACA